TAAAAAAGGGGGGGGGGGGTCCTTCAGACCTCAAGAGCTTGGGGTTGTTTATTTTGGGTGTTAGCTTTTAAAGATTCTTACTATACTCAAGGTCACTCTGAAATGCAATTGTAAGTCTGTCTTATTCAATACCATTAACTAGAATCCCTCAAAAGTGGCTACTGTGTAATCACTGACCCATTTAATCGAAAAGAGTGTTCCTTGAGGTATTACTTAGTAACTCATTCAAAACGAGCAGTTTTACACTTTGGAGTCATACTTTACTTCTAAATAGTCACAGCATTAAATGTATAAATAACCTCTGCTAATTAATTTTATGTTTAAGTAGAGAAGAATAGAAGGAAAAAATATTTAGTTTGATTTGTTGTGGACTTGTTAAAGTGTCTGTTAGAGCAAGGCGTACTGACATTCTGGCTTCTCTCTCTCTCTCTCTCTCTCTACTATGTGCCCACTGAGGCCATCATCTGACCCTACTTGCAGCCTGTGCAGCCCCACAGCCCCTCACTTCAACGTCCCCTTTCATGACAGTTGCCATATGCTCCAGGAATAACACCCACTCCCATTAAAATGCTGATTCTGTTTAATGTTTTCCTTTCTCCCTGATTTGCATTCAGATACCGAATTCGCAGGCAGCTAATTCACATGCACATTAGTGTGTCACTGCTCTCAGAGGTATTTGCATTTTTAAGAGGGGATATCCAGGAGTAGAGGAGGGGGCTAGGTGAGTAGAACCAACTGGGCATTTCAGGTGTGTGATAAGCAGTGCACTAGGAGGCCTCCCTTGGCATCCTTCAGTCATACCATGTGAAAAGCTGGTGCAGCCCAGATCGCGTGGAACCGGGAGACTGACTTAAACCTACTCTCCTAACAACCCATGTTAGGTCCCCTAAGTTGCTTTTCTTCATTCAGCCTTATGCATATTGGAGTGAGGAGAAGGGGGAAAAGAGTTAGCTGAGACTCAGTTGTGAAAATGACATTTAAATTAAAGTCCTGAAGGGTTAGTTCAAATTAGTTGTTAAAGAGTGGGGCTGAGGGGAAGCATGTGAAGCTAAGGGAACAGCATGGGCTAAGACCCCAAAACCCAGTTAGCTCATTATGTGCCATTGGTGAGGTAAGGAGGCTAGAGGAAGGCTTGTCTGACTCGTTCTACAAAGGGCCAGGTAGCAAATACTTGAGGCTTTGTGGGCCATATGGTCTTTGCTGCAACTAGTCAATTCTGCCATTGTAGCATAAAAGTAGCCATAGATGATAATTAAAAAGTTTTCAATAAAACTTTATCAACAAAAAAGTCAGTGCATGTGCGCAGGGTAACTCACTTGCTTAGAGTGTCATCCCATTATACCAAGGTTGCGGGCTCCATGCCCCATCAGGGTACACACAAGAATCAACCAATGAGTGCATGAATGGGTGGAACAACCAAATCAATGATTCTCTCCT